CTGGTCGTAACAGGCTTTCCCTTGCTACACAGTGAAGAAAAGACATGGGAGTGAGGAAAGAGGACTGTTGATGATGGCTGGACCAGACTGGTGGCCACAAGGGTGAGAGACAGTGCTTGGATTATGGTGGAATTTTTGTTTGTGTTCGTTTTTGTTTTTAAAGTAGGACCAGCCAGGTTTTCTGATGTGGAGGATGAGAGAAAGAAGGGGAAGAGTCAGGGAAGACCCCACAGTTTTTGGTCTGAGAAGACATAAGGAAGAAGAAAATCCTCAACTGAGATAGTGAAGTTGATGGTGGGAGTAACTTTCAGAGGTAACTTACATCAGGAGTTAGGTTTTGATCATGTTCAGTCTTTGATGTTCCAAAGACATCTGGGTTGAGGTGTCATGGACACGGGTCTGGCGTTCAGAGGAGGGATTCAGATTGGTGACAGCCACAAGGGGATAGCCAGTTTGTGGATTAGGGTAGAGCTGTGTGTAAGATTTGGAGAAAGAACCTTGTGTCATGGTGGCTGTGCCATTAGGAGTCTGGGAAGCGGGTGGGCCAGTAGAGTGGAAGTAGGAGTTACCTGAAAGGCAAGCGGGAGGTTAGTCTCCGTGGTGGGCGGAGACAACAGGTCCTGGCGGTTGATGGAGTCTTCTGAGGAGAAATCAGGCACGGGATGGACACTGGGGTACAGGAGTCAGAGGGAGCAGTGGTGTAAGCGAGACCAAAGCTGGTGCTCATTCCCCTCCCTGTGTGCTCCCAGGGTTGTTGTGGCCACCTTTGGTGGGACCTGGGGAGTTCCAGCCAGGCTGGCAGATTAGCTCAGGCCTAAATGGGGTCAGCTGGGGGTAGAAGGCCAGTGGGTGTGGACTCTTGAGAGTTCAGCGTTAGGTTTAGTGGTGAGCCTGTGACTGATGAGGGTATGTAGCGTTACCAGCTGACAGCAGAAAGTGGAAAAGGGCCGACTCTGTCTGATAATCTGCCCATTGTTCTGCATTCCTGAGGTTGAATCGAGGAGGGAAGAATTGCTAAGAGCTGAGTTTGGAAATACCTATGGCAATGGGGGCCATCCACTGGTGCGATCCTGGGTGCATTAACCAGTCATTCTCTGGGTGATGCGTGCAGATGACGTCTCGGGGTGCCTATGCTGTGAGCCTCCGTGTACATGATGGAGGTGTGGCCTAAAGAGTGGTGTGTATGTGGAAATGAAATCTGAATTCATGGCCTGGGGGCTCTGGTACTGAGGGCTTTAGGGGGAAGGTTGAGCTCAGATTTGTGTGTGGAGGAGGCATAAACCCTGGACCCCGTGGGAACTAGCTGGCAGGAGAAGGGTTGGTGTTTGCCTGCTGGGCCCAGACTCTGCAGTGTCTGTCCACTTGCTTGTGTTCCAGGCTGGACAACATGATTAATGGGAAATGAGGAAGGAGCAGGCATCAGTCACACAAGGGCCTGCTGTCTTGTCTTGATTTGGGGAGCCGGGGAGGAAGGCGGAATGCATGGTGGATAGACCGGGAATCCTGGGGAGAGGGGCTGCCCTGGCGCCCGGTCATTCCCTTCAGGCAGGGTCATGTGGCTTTTGAGGTTGTGTCTGCATTTTTCCTGGGAGCCCTGGGGGCTCCTTGATGAGGCTCAGAGACTCTCCTGTCACAGTGCAGTGCCTTCTGTGCTGTGCTCGTACAGCCCTCCCGAAGGCCCCGCGCAGCCCAGTGTCCTGGGCTGTGTTCTGCTCTTCTCCCCCCGCCGAGGTCGCCATCTCCTTCCTAGGCTGGACTGTAGGCACACGGATCACACACACACAGATCGCGCAGATCCTCTGGGTGCCCGGGCTTGGCTGTGCGCACTGCCTCCTCCACTCCCCATGCTGCCCAACTTCTGTGGCTCCAGACTTGCCAGGAACGATTTGAGGGTCAGGAGTCTTGTGGTCTGCCCAGTGGGTACCACCCTGCCTAGCCTCTTCTGGGTGGATGGCCCTGTCTGCATTCATGATACCTCTGTGCTCTGGGTTCTGTCCCTTCCTTTTAATTGACATTCCCGTGAGCCTACCTGTGTAATGAATTACAGTCACAGTCACTGCTTGTGGGTCCCACTGGGCTGTTCCTTCAAGACTTTCATTTTGTAATACTTAGTTTTCTCTTGACCTCCCATGGGTGGGCTGCCCTAGACCAGTGCTTTCCCGCTCGCTTGCCCTGTCTGTCTTCTGTAACTTGTATTTTCTAGATCCTCTGTGGTTGCCGAACTGTAGCAGGAGAAAGAACTCTGAGTGCCTGATTGAGATGTCACGACTCTAGCCATCGGAGAAGGGGCTAGCACGGGCCTGGTGAATGGGAGTTTGGGGGGGGTCGTGACGTCAGGGATGGGTTCAGATAGCACCGGAAGCCTGTCCTGTGCCCACTCCTGTTCGCTGCTCCGGCTGTCGGCCACCCCGTATTTCTCTTTTCCCTCCACGTTCTGGACACTTCACGCACTTGTGATTTCTGTTCTGGTCTGTGACCCAGGACTGTCCACCCCACTCACCAGTGCTCTCTCCTGCTCCCCCTGTAGGACTCTGCTGTTGGACACCGCTGATGTGTCATGAGACACACACATGTCCTGAGATGGTTTTTGAATACCAGTTACTCATTTTAAAACACATTTTCTACAAACAGAAGCAGACTCACAGACATAGTAAACAATTTTATGGTTATGAGGGAAAAGGGAGTAGGAAGGGGTAAGTTTGGGAGTTTGAGATTTGCAAATACTAACCACTATATATAAAAATAGATTAAAAAAACAAATTTCTACCATATAGCACAGGTATTCAAAATCTTGTAATAACCTTTAATGAAAAGGAATATGAGAATGAATATACGTGTGTGTATGCATGACTGGGACATTGTGCTGCACACCAGAAATTGACACCTTGTAACTGACTGTACTTTAATTAAAAAAAAATCAAGTTTCCTAGGCTTGGCAGGGAAAGTGCTCCCCTGTCACCAATAGCCAGGGCCCTTCTAAAAGTCATTTGCAGGGTGCGAGTTGTAGATCTTGCCGGACTCTCCCTCCTGAGCCACAGCCCAGCCTGTGTCTTTGTCTCTTGCAGAGCCTTCCCCATTCTGTGACCCAGAGAGTCCAGAACTGCACAGCAGCTTGTTCTTTAACCTGATCCCAGATCTCTTGTCCTGCCAGCAGTCCTGTGGACTAAGTCCTGGGCATGCTAGACACACGTCCCACTGAAGTCAACATGCTTCTAATGGCAGTTTTCTGCTTTCAGGTAGTTGGCATGGAGTGGAGAATGAAAAGGCACCTCCCGCGCAGAGCATTTCTGTGTGAGTGACACGTGCTCATACGTCCAAGGCAGGTGCGTCAGCCCAGATGGCTCACCCTTGTGAGTTATGTGGCCCCGTCTTGAAAGATATTTTGCACCTGGATGAACACCAGGAAGCACACCATGGACTGAAACCTTATACTTGTGGGGCGTGTGGGAGACAGTTCTGGTTCAGCGCAAACCTTGATCAGCACCAAAAGCTGTACAGTGTAGAGAGACTCTTAAAAGGAGACAAAGGCAAGACCTCGTTTGTGAAGAACTACAGAGTTTGTGAAGAACCTCTCCTGCAAGAGAAGCCCTTTGCGTGTGAGCAGGAGCAGAACTTGCAGGCTGGTTTGGGCAGTCACCAGCAAAAGGCCACCCGCAGCAGAAGGAAGACAAGGAGCACTGAGAGCGAGGAGGCCTTTCACGCCGGCCAAGTGCATTACAAGTGCAGTCAGTGTGCGAAAGCTTTCAGCCGCAAAGACACACTTGTCCAGCACCAGAGAATCCACACTGGAGAAAGGCCTTACGACTGCAGCGAATGTGGGAAAGCCTTTAGCCGCAAAGCCACACTTGTCCAGCACCAGAGAATCCACACTGGAGAAAGGCCGTATGCATGCAGCGAATGTGGGAAAACCTTTAGCCGCAAAGACAACCTTACTCAGCATAAAAGAATTCACACTGGAGAGATGCCTTATAAGTGTGGCGAGTGTGGGAAGTACTTCAGCCATCACTCCAACCTCATTGTCCACCAGAGAGTTCACAATGGAGCAAGACCTTATAAATGCAACGATTGCGGGAAAGTCTTCAGACACAAATCCACGCTTGTTCAGCATGAGAGTATCCATACTGGAGAAAATCCTTATGTTTGCAGTGACTGTGGGAAGTCCTTTGGCCACAAATACACCCTCATTAAACACCAGAGAATTCATACTGAGTCAAGACCTTTTGAATGCATCGAATGTGGGAAATTCTTTAGTCGCAGCTCTGACTTTATTGCACACCAGAGAGTTCACACAGGTGAGAGGCCTTTTGTGTGCAGCAAATGTGGGAAAGATTTCATCAGAACCTCCCACCTTGTTCGGCACCAAAAAGTCCACACTGGAGAAAGGCCATATGAGTGCAGTGAGTGTGGGAAGTCGTACAGCTTAAGCTCCCACCTCATCAGGCACCAGAAGGTTCACGCTGCCGGAAGGCTTTAGGGGCGCCTCCAGCACAGCAGGGCCGCGGAAGGGATTACCCTTCAAGAGGGAGCCGTCGATCAGATGTTGAGCTTCATACGTCTGAACCTCGACACGGGAGACCCGAGGGCCAGGCACAGGGGAGACCCACTCAGGTCCCTTGCCTCGTTTGTCAGTGTCGGTGCCCGTGCCTGGAACCATTTCAGCCTGACCAGCTTAGTTATCCTGATATCCTCAGCGGAGGCGGAACTTTGTACTCCCTCCAGTCCCTGGAGGGAAGTATAAGAAATGTGAGTTAATGGGGGTCCGTGTTTCCTCCGCTCTGGAAGACGTGTGGACATGGCCCATCTAGAACCAAGAGGTCCTGAGCTGTGTACTGGTAGCAGAAAAGCTTTACTTCGTGGACGCTGTTGGTCTCACATGACACTTGGGACAGACTGTTCCAGCCTGCAGGGCACCCAGCCTGGGTCACTGCTTGTCTCATGTTGCTCTGGTTTGTGTGCGAATAAAGACTTCGTTATCTAAGCCGCCTTCGACCTTGGAGGCTCTTTGCGCTGTTCGGAACGGTTTGGGAGCACTTAGGGTTTGCTAAACTGAAGAGGTGACCCGTGTGGGGGTTTCCAGCTTTGCCTCAGGTGGAGCAGCAGGTTGGCAGAGGACAGTTCTCAGTCCAGTGTTGGTGTTAGTTTCCATTGCTGACAGAGGCTCAGGTGGGAATTCAGGCCATTGCGGGCCTGATTTTGTCTAGATTTCAGTTACTAGAGGGGCCAGACATCGCCTTGAGGAGGGTGCTGTTGTAACAACCTACAGTGTTCGGAAGCGGTATGGCTTGAGTGTCTTGTTTCCACCATGTGTCCCCCGTTCCCCGGCGCCGTTGAGGGGTAGCTCTTCCTCAGGACCTGCCAAGCGCCCTGTGCCCTGCAGGCCAGAATCGGTGCACAGGCCGCTGGCTGGAAGACCTACTGTGTCCAGGAAAGAAACAATTGGGACAGAAACACTGGTGTGAATGATTGGGATTGGAGAGACTGCAGCGGACGAGAGCGGGTGTGCCTGTGAACAGACATCCACACACATCCCAGTCCCTGGCTGAGAGGTCAGGGTGTGCAGACGCTCCCCTGATCTCCAGGGCCAGGTCCCTCCTGTGACCAGGGTCCGTGGTGGAGCGAGGATGTAGTTTTCTTCAAAGAAGGTAGTTTCCTTCAATTTCTGTGCCTGCCTAGGCCCTTCACCTGATGTCCCTGCTGCACGGGCAGGAACCCTGGGGCTGAGAATAGGGGTGTAGTCGGCGTGCGGTGTGCGGCACACGCCTAATGTGGTAAGCCTCAGTAGACGTGCACACGTTGGAAATCACGCCCGGAGACGTGATGCTGGGCATCCCCACCACCCCAACGTTACCTCGTGCCCCTCAGGATCCCCCCAGTGCCATCCCTAGGGAACCGTTGATTGAATACAAGTAGATTTGCCTTTTCTAAAATTTTATCTAAGCAGAACCATAGTTTATTTTTGTCTGCTGTGTTACATTATTTTGAGAATCATCTATTGTGTGTATGAATAGTTCATTCTCTTTATTGCTGAGTGATATTCTCTCTACATATACCACACCTTATCAGTGTATCTTAACTGATATTTAGCCCCCCCCAGATTCTAAATATTAAGAATAAAGTTGCTGCAAATAGTGTTCGGCAAGACTTTTTATGGACATTTAGCTGAAAGAATTTCTCAACAAAAGTGTTGGAAATGTGGCTTTGTTTTTCTTAGTGATTATAGAAAAAAATATGACAGGGAAAAGTAAATACAGGGAAGAATTAGTAAATGGAAAAGACCCAAGACTTGATTTGGGAAATTCTCAGCGCATTTTTAATTGTGAAAGACAACGAAATTAAGACATCCATGGTCCGGAAACCGTGTCCTAGAAAAATAACTGAGGGTGTGGCTGCACAACCTTTCATGATATTTCAGCCAGATCAAAAGATACTAAGTCTAATTTGACACAACATTGTACAGTGACTATAACTCAGTAAAAAAAATGTTAAAAAAAAAAAGGTATTGAGTCTAATGAGCTTAATTGTGTGATTAAGCAAGTGCCCTCAGTATAACCGGAGAGCCTTTAGGAAGCTTAAAGGTGTTCCTCAGCTGTCTCGGCAAAAGCCAGAGATACGGGTTTATCTGGGGAAAAAAATCTGTAGACCAGCCTCTTGTCCGATGGAGTGAATCTCTGATACTTACAGGAGACCCTTAACGTTCTTGAAAATTTTATTTTGCTAGGAATACACTGTGGATCTAAAGAGCATGAAATTGAAGGACGGAGGACCTCCAGTACTCTGCGTGTGACACTGGCTGAGAAACCTACAGGCTGCAAACCTTGTTCACTTTCACGAGAGGACACATGGTAGCAGCAGATTACAGTCCAGAAGGGGCCGGTGGGCAGAATCCTGCACCACAGGTGGTATCTCCAGGCCTTGATACCGCATGTAGTCTATCGAACTTGGTTTCAAAATGTCTTGGGACGGGTGGCTCTTTTTCTCCTTCCATTTTCTCCCCCTTTGAAACTGTGTATCTTTAAATATACACATATAATGAATTCTAGGTCTGTTCCACTTTATTTGGGGAATAGAGACCTTGTTTTTAGCTTTAGAGATCTGCAGATGGAGAAGATCTGTGCCCCAGGGTGGGTTACACCCAGAGCTTCACCTGTGCCTGATTTGAATAATTCGGTGATAGAGCGTATGTCTAGCACGCACAAGGTCCTGGGTTCAGTCCCCAGTACCTCCATTAAAGAATAGAACTGCCAGAGGGCATCATACCAGAAAGATTCCTGGAGCTCGGGTAGAGCTGCAAACGGTCTATGTTACCATAAATGTAGGTGCGCTTTTAATGCAGGTCATTATTTGTACTTTGGAAATGTGCTACACAAGTTAATAAACAATATGCTGATTTTACATTATTTTTCCACTAGGACACATTTTATTTAAGTTGAGGTACCATCGATTTGTAAAATTATGCACATTTCCTGTGTACATTACATTTCTACTTCTGCAAACCCTGTCTTGTGCTCACCACCAAAAATTGTTTCCATTTGTGACCCTGCAGCTGAGCCCCTTCACCCATTTCACTGCCCCTCCCTCCCCACCCCTCCTCCTCTGGTAACCACTACTCTGTCTCTGTATCTATGTGTTTCATTTGGTTCATTCATTTATTTTATTCAGTTTTATTGCTTATTTGTTCATTTTTAGTGTATCACATATGAATGAAATCATAGTATTTGTCTTTCTTTACCTGACTTACTTCCCAGGTGATGTTTTGAATTTAGTTTTCTTGAGTGGAAAATATTCATCAAAAAAAAATGTCCATTTAAATAGGTTTTAAAACCCTCTTACACTGCTGGTGGGAATGCAGGTTGGTGCAGCCACTGTGGAAAACAGTATGGAGATTCCTCAAAAGACTAGGAATAGACTTACTGTATGACCCAGGAATCCCGCTCCTGGGCATATATCCAGAAGGAACCCTACTTCAGAAAGACACCTGCACCCCAGTGTTCATAGCACTGTTTACAACAGCCAAGACATGGAAACAGCCTAAATGTCCATCAGCAGATAGACTGGATAAAGAAGCTGTGGTATATTTATACAATATTTATATAATTTATTCAGCCATAAAAGTGACAACATAACGACATTTGCAGCAACATGGATTTTCCTGGAGAATGTCATTCTAAGTAAGCCAGAAAGAGAAAGAAAAATTCTGTATGAGATCGCTCATATGTGGAATCTAAAAAAGAAGAAGAAGACAAAGACAAAATAGAAACAGACTCATAGAATACAAACTTGTTGCCAAGGGGGAGGGGAGTGGGAAGGGACAGAGTAGGAGTTCGAAATTTGTAGATACTGACAGGCATATGTAGAACAGATAAACAAGATTATACTGTGTAGCACAGGGGAATACATACAAGATCGTGTGGTAGCTCACAGAAAAAATGTGATAATGAATATATGCATGTTCATGTATAACTGAAAAATTGTGCTCTACATTGGAAATTGATACATTGTAAACTGACTATAACTCAACAAAAAATGTTTAAAAAGATAGGTTTTAAAGTAGAAAAATGCAAACTTGATATAATGAATTATCTTGATGTTAAAAAGGCACTGCTTCATGAATAAATTTACTATGAAAAACTTTAAGATCCCGAAAGACCTATAAAAGAGAAATATTTTCTTTATGGAATGAAAAAAAAATCTGGAGCAATAGCTTAGGGAACCCTGAGCTCTGTTCCCTATTTTACTGTTAATTCTGTAGCTGTGAGCAACTAATTTAACTTTCCAAAACCTCTTCCTCATTTCGATAAAGAATGAACAATAGTTTCCAGCTATGTCAGTAACGGGGATGCCCTGTTGGATGATGTTTATTTAGTCTGTTAAGCTCTATAGGTGGGAAGGAAATGCTACAATATGAGCACAAGCTGTTGCACAGCTGTTATCATGAATTGCTTATTTTTTAAAATATGTATTTTAAAAGATACTTCTTTTAGGTCTGTTATGTGTAAGGGACCAAGTGACTTGTCCTTCCTGGCAGATTATAAGCTTCCATTTTTCATTCACAATTGTGCCCTGTCTGTTCAAGACCTTGCCTTGACTCTTCTACATGGGAATAATCAGCCAGTGTTTATTTAGACTGTAAATATGGATGACATAGGCTCATAAGTCAGCCTTAAGACTGTGTGCGTGTGTGTGCGCGTGTGGATGGGGGATGCGTGCAGACGGGGGATGCCTGTGGATGGTGGAGACAGGCTGCATCAGGAGGGACTTTGCTTTGAATAAGAACTCTCGACTTTATTTGCCTTTACATTTATTCCCTTCATGATTAAACTGTTTGCTTTACCCTCAAAAAAAAATGTAGATGCGATTGTCTACAGACCAACAGGTAGGATCTTCAGAAATATATCACTAGGTAGTGGGACTCGTAAATAGAGTCTCAAAATCTGCTCTGGACCCACCCTGAGAAGAATTAAGAACAAGCCTCTGAAGGAAAAACTGTTGCCAGGTACCTTTACTGAAACCCCTGTCAAAACCTGGCTGTGAGCTGGCCTTGAGATGAGTTAAGGCCGTGGGACCCAAGGCCAAGATCAGAGTATGTTTCTAGTGTGCAGTAAATAACTGCTGTACGCATGCGTCAATTATATAAGACTTAAAACAAAGAAAGTAGAAGTACGCATGCGCTTGAGATGCTCTGTAAACCTAATGAACAAAGAAATTCACGTTGCACACGTGCCGGCCGAGAACAGATACAAAGCAGGACAGGTGCATCACAGGCGCGCACCTCCCTGTGGCAATAAAGTGCTGTTAACCCCGTGGTGTCTCCTGCTGAAGTCTGGCGGTATGGCAACTCCTCGTGCATTTTTTCGTTTTGGGGCCGCTCACTTCCTAGAGCCCCACGTCAGCCCCCCTTGGCTGACACTGACCCTATTTAAACGGATACAGCAAATGCCACACTCAGTGTATAGTTTATCTTGTCTGGTACCCAATGAAGAATTACT